AGCTTATATGTACCTGTTGCCTTGAAAAATTGATAATTCGAAAACATTGTAACGTAATACCTAAATTTAAAAGCACAAATATATATAACACTTTATTACTTTACGGAAGTACCGAGCACGTCAGACTACTGAATATTAGCGTTTAAATACGGATAAAATATTAAAATAGTTGTATTATTACAAAATAACAAAAAAAAAGAAATTGAAAAAATAAACAAGTTATTGAGGGAGTAAATATACAAACAAATAAATTTACTAATTTATTGACGTCTTCTTCTGCACGCAAAAGTGATCTTCTCACATCTTCTCAAAAACTTTTTCATGGAGTGCTGAATGTGGATCTTTACTGCCAAATTCTCCATTAACAAATGTTGGAAATCAGAATTACAATGAAACACATGTTGCAGAGAAAATGTTGCAGAAAAATGTTTGTATTCAAAAATCGCCAAATTGCGCAACAAATAATTACGAACATGAGTCTATCAATATTGAAGATAGAAATAATATGCAAGATGCTGCTAAACAAGACCATAAAATTCAGACAGGAATAGATACATTCTTGTTACAAAGCGGAAACGCAGCCCTATTAGAAAAACAACTAGTCAAGTAGCTAAACAAACAAAATTAGTTGAAAACCGCGCCTCCTCAAATAAAAATAGATTTGAAGTTTTATCAACTGATGAAAGCGAGAATAGTGGAAATAATACCAAAAAATATAAACCACTTCCAATCCACTTAAGAGAAAAAAACTCGAATGAGCTCTTAAAGAAGATGACATCCATTATCTACGTAAAGTGCATCCAATTCACAATCTTCGTTATCTTTTACATCGAAGGATAACATTAGAAGAACACTTCAAAAGGAAAGATCCAATACAATGTACTAACTGTCAAGAATTTGGTCATACTAGAACCTATTACACCTTACCCAATGTATGTGTAATATGTGGAGATCTACATAAACCCTCCATATGCCCAAAACCTAAGGAAGATGCAAATGCAAAGAAATACAGCAATTGTGGCAAAAACCATACAGCAAATTATAGGGGTTGTACTGTATTTGTTGCAGTTAACCAGAGAACTCTTCCCAAAAATCAATCAAGTACTGTCGCATCCAAAAATTACTTCCGAGAACAAATAAGCAATCCGGTAATAATAATACCTCAAGGCAAAAGTCATGCAAATGTATTAGGGAAAATGTTCAACCTCAACAATTGGCGAAACCGGCAGTAGATAATTTAGAAGAAACGCTAAATACACTGATCTAAAGTCTTAATCTCTTTATGTGTGGTATGCAAAGCATGATGCAAGATCTTATAAAAAAACAAAAGGCTCTAATGAAAGCTCTGATAATGAAGAAATGAGCAACTCCATTAGAATATGTCACTGGAATGCAAACGGTATAAACAACCATAAACTTGAAATTGAATATTTTTTAATTAGTAATGGAATTGATATTATGCTTGTGTCTGAAACTCATCTTACTCAAAAAAACGCTTTCAAAATTCCAAATTACTGCTTTTATGACACTAAACATCCCAAAGGTATGGCTCGCGGGGTTACTGGTATTATAATAAAAAAAGACTCGATTTGATGAATATGGAGAAAATGTCGTAATAGCTGCAATATATTGTCCACCCAATCACAATAGAGAAGTCCAAGACTTCCAAAACTTTTTTAAAATACTCGGTTCTAAATTTCTAGTTCCAGGCGGTTTTAATGCTAAGTACACATTCTGGGGTTCAAGACAAATAACACCAATACAACAGAAACTTCTAGCAGTTGTGAAAAGTGATGATCTCGATGTCATATCCACTGGACAGCCAACTTACTTCTGATCGACAAAAAGTCTTAGATCCTATTGACTTTGGCCTAAGCAAAAATATTAAACTATCAACAATCACCGCATTTCCATCAGTTGAACTGTCATCAGACCACTCACCAACAATAATAACAGTACAATGTCAGCAGAATAGAACTATCCAAACGCAAAGTCTAACGAAATATATAAAGTGGTTAAAAATTTGTAAATATGTTTCTAGCCATATGTATACCGCAATATGCTTCTTTAAAAGAGAATAAAGAAATTGATGCTAGTGTTAACCAATTTTCTGAAGTAATCTCAACGGGTGCTGAAGTGCTTCGATAAGAACTAAAAAAACAACCCAAAAAATTGGTGTGACAAAAACAATAGAGGCATTATTACTATCTTACTGACAGGTTATTATCCCAAACTTTGGAAAATGACACAAATAACAATGATACCTAAATCTGGGAAGGACAAAACCAAAATAGAATCTTACAGATCAATTAGCGTCCTTTCAGTATTATCAAAAATATTTGAAAAGCTGCTAATAGCAAAAATAATGACAATACTCTCAGCTAACGAAATAGTTCCGGAACATCAATTCGGCTTCAAAGCTAAACATAGTACAATTGAACAAGTGCATCGTATTGTATCATTCGTTAGAAACTCATTTAGAAATAAACAATACTGCACTTCTATATTTATAGATGTTTGATAAAGTATAGCATGAAGGCTTAATATATAAAATTACAACACTCATGCCAGCTAACACTCACCTTTTGTTAAAAAACTACTCAAGTAAAAAAGTTTTAGTTTAAGTTATAAAGACTTTGTTACAGAACCTTGTCCTATCAAAGCAGGAGTTCCTCAAGGAAGTGTAATAAGTCCGCTATTATACCTACTGTATACAATCGCACAACGCATGCTTCAAGATCATATTCACCAACTCGAGCAATGGTTATTAGTATGGCGTATCAAAGTCAATGAACAAAAATGTTCTCATGAAACATTTGCTCTAAGACCAGGAAACTGTCCCAGTATTACAAAAAATGAACAATCAGTACCTTCGAGCGACTAACACATAGAGGCTAAAAAGACACACATAAATACAAAATGAAGTTCATTGCATTTGCTTATTGGCACGTCATCTAAGCTAACACTTGAATACAAAATTCTGCTATACAAGTCGATAATAAAACCTATATGGAGTTCAACTATACGGAATTCAACTGTGGGGAACAGCGATGTCATCAAATATTGAAAAACTGCAAAGGCTGCAATCTAAAACCCTAAGAATGATAACAGGTGCACCGTGGTCTATGAAAAATGCTAACCTTCATTGAATCGATATTTTGAATTGATTTTAATTTTAAATTAATTTTAGTTTTTTTAATTTTAATTTAAATTTTAATTTTAATTTTAATTTTCAATCTTATCTTATTATAAATAATTCAATGTCTCAATAGTTTTTTCCAAAGCAATGGCTTAGGGAAAAAAAATAAATTTAGTTTTAAGATTTGACCCATTTATTGTTAGGTTCGTTTTTAGAAAGATTCAGTAAATAAATTATAAATTGAAAACAAAAAATAAAAAATATTATTACAAAATTAACCATTATGCTATAATCCTCCTCATTTTCCGCAAGTCTTCATGGGGTTCCATAAAACTTTGTATAAAGAGCGTAACAAGATGTTTCATTTGCCTCACTATGTTCTCATTTTGTGATTTACTAGTCTTTTACTTGAGTTTTACTGCCTACAGGCCGTGAAACAGACCTATTATTTCCAACCATTTGCAATTGGGTTTCGTGCAAAGTTTCAAACAATATTATTCGATTGATTTGATTTGCGAAGGCTATTCTGATCTTTCATTGCTTTCTTTTATAGAATATAATCAAAACTTCACTGATTGGACTTCATATTGACAAATACCTAAGTATTTAAAATATTTTAAGTATAAGTATTATATGAAAATCTATTTAATTTTCTCTCAATTTAAATTCTTTAGCAAAGAATAACTAAGAAACTATTGCTTACATCAGGTGTGCATGCTATATGACGACTACATTGAACTCCAAATTGCTCAATCGGTCAGAAAAATCTTTTTCAAGCTCTGCAATATTAAAATATTCATTAGATAAGTTCTGCTTACTAATAGAATAGTAAAAAACATAAGAAGGACAATGTCTTAAGTAATATTTTATCATTTTGTATAAAAACTCTATTTGAGTTGAAATACGGATACACTAGACACGTTTTGCTGGCACATAGTCTCTTCATTTGTGTATTCTAGAAAATTTCCTTTCTCATTGCAGCACTACTTGAATGGAGTGTAACAAATTGGAGTCTGATTATAAATGTCTACTGTCAATGTAACAGTCTTTTCCTGTAAGGCAGCTTTTGACTAAAGAAACGATCACAAAAGTATGCTGAAGACGAGATCAAAATCAGCAAAATCATTTTGACAACAGCGAGATAGATTGCAATCAAAGCTACAAGACTTAACAATGAGGTCATATATTCGATAAAGAATGGGCACCGGTTCCAAAGTAGTGAGGAAAGATGAGATCAAAAAGAAAAGAAAACGTTCACTAATTATATAGTGAACATAAGATATAAGTTTTACATGCTTATTCACTTTATAAATACTTCTTATGTTAAGACTTTGGAGTTAAAAATATTAAAGGATAATCTTACGACTTTTGTGACGTGTGTAGTTGACGCACGTTATTTGTTGAAAGATGCATGCATATGTCAGATATTGGGATGAAAAGGGATAAAGGCAGGCAGCCTTATAAGTCAATGCAAGAGTGTATTTCAATTTTACTTATACCTCAATGTAAGCATAGATCGAATTTCAGTTAAACTGAAAATTGTGTGTATCGCTTTGTTTGACAAAGCTCGGTCCTTGGTCACTGCAGAAGATATTGGTCCATATCCTAACAAACGTGAACATAAACTTAAACGTAAACTCAACTTAATAATAGAAGATTATGTGAAATTAAATAAAATAAGGAAATATTGACAATCGGCATTCACGTCGTATTTTGGTAAATTAATATAAATTTAGAAACAAAAATAGTAAATATTATATCAGTGAATATATATATATAATATATATTATATATTATACTTATATATTTTATACTTAAAATCCTCTAAGTATTTTTACTTTCTTAATGTTTTGAGGTTAGCTTTTAAAAATAGTAATTCAAGTTAAATTGATATAAAAATTTAACTTAAGAATTTGATGTATCGTTGTCTTTCATTTGTTCTTGGGTTTGTATTTTTCTGATAATAATATCGTCCGCATTTTCAGATAATCGTAAATTGTTCTCACTGGCTAGATGTAGAAGGGAGAAAAATGACATGATAGGTGTTGAGGCTGATGCATTTGACTCTTCCGGCAATGACTCATACATTTCTTTGAATGATGCTTCTCCCGGTATGTACTTCTCATCTGAGAAGTGATCATTATTTTCTTTTTGTTCACTGCCTTTTTTGTTATCTTCCTTTTCTTTTGCGCTAACTTTAAATTGTAGGTCCACTAATGACTTGCAACTTGTTATTAAGTTTTTCATATCAAAGTGACGGGTACGTTTGGCAAATGGAACAACAATCTTTGTCACCTAAAAAAAAAAGATTTATAATATGAAAACATTTTTATTAAATTAGAAATATATATATATATGTAAAAGATAAGATTTAATGTCTAAATCGTTTATCAATTTATAAGACTTTACTAAAGTTAATAATTAAATATACACGACCGAACTTCCTGACTTCCGACTGCTGGCTACCTAGTGCAACTACCGACCGACTGCTCAACTTCGACTGCAGAGAATACTTGTACCAGAACGGCAACTTAAATGTAAACAAAACAAACCAACGAACACACTCTCAAAATAATTTACTACTACCAGACCAAGCATGTTGTTTTGTTGTTGTAAGTCGACCCACCACGAGTGAAAAATTTCACCACGCCGAACGGAATGTTTCACCACCACGAACGGTCTCCAATATTCTTTACTACGAAAGAACGACATGAAGAGCGCAAATTGGGTTTTCTTTTGGTTTTTTGACAGAAGAAATGCGCGCCAAAAACTGAAAAACGAAGTTACAAAAGGTGGTGAATAAGTTCCTTTGAAAAAATAATTACATTTATTAATTACAATTATTATTTTAGTTATTAATATCTGAAGATGGTGTGGAATTGCGTGATGGGATGTGAAGTATTTAAGGGAATGTGTGAATTTCCTAAAATTAACGAAAGAAGGTAAAAAACAATAATTTCTTGATTGTGGACTTAAAATATAAGTTTTATGTTTAATGTGATTTGTTTGTTTTATGTGTATAAATACAAATTAGTAAAGCAAAAATATATGTGAGTAAATAAATATATTTTAATAAAACTTGCTAATGTGTTAATTTGTTTTTATTAAATATGTGATAAATCTAACAAGAAATAAAAAAAAAAAAAAATTATGTACTATTTTTGTTTTTTTTTGTATATTATTTGGAGGTAAAAAGAGTGGACTATGTAAATTATATTTTTATCTTGAAATATTTATGTTAAAAACCTTTAATATTAATTAATTTATTATTAATTTAATTCAACAATTTTATTTTTAATTATTTCACAATGAATAAATTTTACTATATCATTTGTTCATATTAAAAACACTGAATAAAATTAAATCGTATATATCTCGGAATTGCTTGAAATTAGAAAATAAGTATACTAATAAGTATAAGTGTCTTCTTTGGAAGTATCTTCGATTATCCAATTAGATTAATCGTTCTAAATCCTTCATATTTAACGAAACAGTAAACATATTATAAAGTTTTACTTTTTCTACATTAATTCTTTTTGTGAATAGCGATACTCTTTGCAAATTATTTAAATAATAGAATTACTTTACAAAATTGTATTTTAAGTCAATTTTATTTTCGTACATTTAACAATTGAAACAGAAACATAACACCAAGCTAAAGATGCATTATAATAATTAATATTATTAATATGTATTATTATAATTATATTATAAAATATGGTTATTATTATTGAAAGCTATAAGGATAATGTTGGAGTGAATACAAGGATTGCCTTAAAAGTTATAAGAAAGCTATCAGGGAGGCCAAAAGTAATGGCTGGAAGGAATTTTGTAAGTCAATTGAATCAATCTCATCCTCTGCTAGGCTCAGCAAGCATCCCCTGCTATCCAAGGAAAGTGCAAATCGTTCTTATCTCAAGAAAGAGGACGACACATGGACTGAAACCTCTGCTGAGACACTAAGACTACTATTAGATACTCATTTCCCAAACGGTGAAAAGGGTGCCCAGGAAATGATTCAATTACTCTGGCAAGCACATCATCACAGGTGGCTGAAGCAATAGTCACTGCGGAGAAAATTAGGTATTCAATCAACAGTTTCTGTCGCTATAAATCGCCAGGTTTGGACAGTATTTTGCCGATTATGTTGCGAAAACTACAAGACTTAGTGGTTCCATGGTTAGGGGGAATTTACAAAGCGTGTCTTAAATACAGTTATGTACCACTTAGTTGGAGACAGGTTAAAGTCGTCTTCATACCTAAGGTAGGCAAAATCGGACACGAGTCCGCCAAAGATTACAGGCTGATTAGTCTAACTTCATTCTTATTGAAAACAATGAAGAGGGTAATAGAGCTTCACCTAAGACAAAAGGTAGAATGTTTTGCAATCTCTAAATCTCAGCACGCTTGCCTCAAGGGTAGATCTACGGAAACAGCTCTACATGAGGTCATTCGTACTGTGGAAAAATTGATTCATTTTAAACAATACACGTTGGCAACCTTTTTAGATATTGAAGGGGCTTTTAACAATGTCAGCAATAAAGCTATGTATGACTCGCTTTTCAGAATAGTTTTAGAGGAAGAATTAAAAAATTGGATAATTAAAAAATTGGACCGTGGATTTAGTCTCTACTCTTCTATACTAGGGTTCTTGCGAGGAATGTGGTAACAAAACGGGTTCTTGAGGAAAACACACATTCTATTAAAACGTTCACTTTAAATTTAATTATTATATTAAAAATTATCAGCAAACTTCAGAAGAGTGCTGTCTATTAGCGAGGAAGCGGCAAGGATTAAAGTCCCATACTTGAATTCTAACTTAAAAACACTTTTAATGATTTCTTTTTTTACTTTACTTATTTTTATTTTTCTTTTGTTTCACTTTACTTTTTTGATTTTGTCTTTTCATATTTTCCCATTTTTGTTTATTTTCCAATTTTTTTTTTCAATTTTTTTATTTTCAATTTTTTTTAAATTTATTTGTGCAATTTTTTTTTCTTTTTACAGATTTTTCCATCAACTGCATCTCAGGATGTCAAGTGAGCATCAAACGGATGTGCTATCGCTTTTCGTTTAGTAAAAGCTGTGTTAATATTATATTTTCAAAATGTTAAAAAGTTAAGCGCCATGACTTCCGGACAGTCATATAACGAAAGATCACGGCAATTGCACCCTTTTCTGGTCATCACTATGACCTGTTATTATTATTTTGAAACTTTCTAATTGGCCCTATTTTTCAAAGGTAATATTTTTTGTGCATTTATACATATTTACTCCTTTAAAACGTAAGTTGTGGTATTTATTTAATGGGAAATATAGTATTGACCAACGTGATGAACATGGTAAGCCTCATCCTCATCCTTACCTTTATAACCAAAAACAAATCGGAACTTTTCTCTTATTTTCATACTCAATTTTTTATTTTTTGTTAAAATTAATCATTTTACATTTAAACTGACCAATACTGTATCCAAGACTGTACCAAGACTGTATCCATAACATGGTGCTAAAACTTTGTGCAAGCTTGAGTTGCAAACTTATCTGTCAGTAAAGTTGCTTAAGTTTTTTCTAACGTCCTCACTTGAACATGTCCGCGATCAAGATTTGTCATTAAATCAAATTTTTCAATCATAAATGTTGTGCTTACGTGTGTTTGAAGGATTGCTTTACTACTTAATATACTGATGGGTCCAAAATGGAAGATGACAGTGCAGGAGCTTTCAATTTCACAATACACTAGCATCAAAGAACTATGTTACTGTTATGTGGGTACCGGGACATAAAGAACATGAGGGCAATGAAATAGCAGACTCCCTAGCAAAGAAAGGTGAATGTACTCCTTTCATTGGTCCAAAACCTAATGAAAGGGGTAACAAATAGCTTCACAAATAACTTATTATAACACTGGAGAGCCCAAGCAGACATGCGACAGTGAAGAAGATTCATTGATCCTGAACACATCAAAATTGATACTATCCTTGGCCATAGCAGAAACGACATTAAAATCTACACTGAACTTATTACAGAACACTGTAGACGTGGACTCGACTACCTTGGATCTAAGTCCCAAATCAAGTTGGTAAATTTAAGTCCACAGCAATTACAAGTTTTATAAATAGTCTAAAATTGTTTTAGTTGGGCCTTTAGGCACACAATAGATCCCTTAGGTCGGGGTACATTCATAGCCTATTATTTAACAATAATAATAATACTTAAGATGACGAAACAAGCTACACGAATATTTAACACATCACTCAATAAGTCGTGTGACTGACACACAGATAGCGCTGTCATTGTCAAATCCATATGACGTTTATGAGGTACCAACCTTCAAAAGACTATATGTAAAATTTCATGACATTTCGATTAGTCAGAAAAAAAGTGACAGTCATTCAAGTGAAGCTACTTTTGTTATTTTCAAAACAATTTCAAGACATTCAAGACAATTGAGTGTATTAACTTATCATTGCTTCTTGATGAAAAAAATACTGTACAAGCTCAGCAATGGCTGCAAAAGTGTTATCCGGACTCTGCTCCATTGAAAAGAACCATTTGTTATTGGTTTGCTGAATTTAAACGTGGTGGTACAGACACCGATGATGGTGAACGTTCTGGTCGTCCGATTGAGGTAGCTACTCCAGAAAATATCAAAAAAGTAAAGAAATTGGTTATATCTCATCATATATTGAAATTGCATGAAATAGCTGAGACCATAAAGACATCAGAAGGCAGTGTGTTTACAATCATGCATGAACATTTGACCATGAGAAAGCCCTTTTCAAAGTGGGTGCCGCGTTTACTCACAGTTTATCAAAAACAACAACGTGTTGATGATTCAAAGCAGTGTTTATCCATGTTTACACGTAATAAATCAGATTTTTTGGGGCGATATGGAACAATGAATGAAACATGGATCCATCACTTCACTCCGGAATCAAAACGATCATCATCTGAGCGGACTGCAGCCGGTGAACCACGTCCGAAGCGTCCAAAGCCACAACAGTCAGCTTGGAAGGTTATGGCTTCAGTATTTTGATATGCACATGGTATAATCTTCATTGAATATATCGAAAAGAGAAAAACCATCAAAGTAACTACTACACGGCATTATTGGATCGTTTGAAAGCAGAATTGTGAAAAAACGACCACATATGGCGAAGAAAAAAGTTTGTTTCACTAAGACCATGCACTATGTCACAAGTCAATAAAAAAGATTACAAAATTCCACGAATTACACTTCGAATTGCTTCCTCATCCACCGTATAGTCCATATCTAGCCCCCAGCGACTACTGGCTATTCGCTGATCTGCAAAAAATGTTCGCCGGTAAGAAATACATCTAAAATGAAAAGTAATTGCTGAAACTGAAGCCTATTTTGAGGTAAAAGACAAATTCTTCTACAAACACGGCATCGAGAAGTTAGAGAAGCGGTGGAATGATTGTATTGCCCTTGAAGGATATTATATTGATGAATAAAATCGATTTTTGGCAGAAAAAATTTGTTTTTCTTAGTTAGTCACACGACTTATTCAGTGATGTGTTACTCTTGTCTGTCCAAATAAAGCTGCTCAATGACAGACTCTTAATTTAGTGATTGTTTTTTTTCTCACTTTTTTGATTTCCACATTTCTTCAATATGCAAGTTTCTCGTAGCTCAAGAAAATTGTAGCACAATCCTCTATATGTTACTGCTTTAAGTTAAATATTAAAAAAATGTGAAAAAAAGTGATCTCATAGGAGCTTAATGACAACAACAGATCATCATTTCATCATACAAATAAAACAATTTAATTGATATAAATAATATTAATTATTAATCTAAAGGTAAACAATTTGATTTCGCCATACAAAAGTCCAACCCATCTTTGAACCCGCCATATAGAAACGGCTATGGCTCTCCGACTTAATGGCATCTATCTTCGATTTAAATTCGACCAAAACCCCAATTTATTTACACTTCTAAATAATTCCCTTTCCACTCATACTACCAACACCGAACTATATACTAACCCACGTATTCGTCATTTATGATATTTCCTATATCAATCAACAACAACAACATCTTAGTGCATTTTAGACCCCCACTACCACCATAATCTAAAATTCTGATTATCATACCTGACAACATGTTGAACTTTTGTACACCGTGACATGTTAATGTGTAGCTGACTGAAATCACGCAATAATCTGTCGATATCTCTTGCAGATTGCTCATGGGGTAAAGACGAAGAAACTGTACTGGACACATACAAATCAATAGGACACAGTATGCACCACGCAAAGACATTTGCGGATTGCGACTGACTGTCATCGCATCTCGCTTGTTGATCATCTTCATGAAGAATCAAAAGTACTCATCGTAAAAAATCATAATCAACAGTTTTCCAAACAGTTCCTCGTTGCGTGCCACTCAGATGGCCATCGACACCGACACGACACCTCATGGCGTCGTATTCTGAACTGCATCCGTTTATCTCTTTCTTCATATCATGGATATATCAACGTCTTTTGCAATCGAATATGAACGTGAACTTACAGCACTCCAGACAGATGTAGTATCCTCTTCGAGACCACGGTTGCACTGCAACAAAGTTTTCAATAGGTGCCGCATAACATTTCTTCGAAAAAACGACGACTTCCCGTACAGCAAGAATTGACATAAGACAATTGAGATCAAAATATAGTCATAGTAACTGCTGAACAATTACTTGTCATTTATTATTCTGCCCCATCGGAAATAGTTCAGTTCAATTCAAGTCATACCTATCCCCAATACATTACTACTCCTTAATAATCCCCTCCACTCTCATTCAACCATTATGCATCCATATCCTAACCCATGATTTTATCATGTAATTCCTTTCGTTGTGTCCGCTTTTCAGCAGATACGGTTAATTATTTAAGGCAATCAAATAATATATTAAACTCATCAAATAAAATAATTTCATGAGAGAAGAGAACTAATGTTGTCAGAGTTTCGAATTTGACATTCATAAACAATTTGATAATGTATAAACAAAGTTGGAAGTTTTGTGAAGATCAAGCAATGGGATAACCTGAGAAAGTCATTAGTTAATAAATATTTATACTATCATAATATTTTTCACCTACTATTCATAAATTATTGTAGTAAGTTGACTATTACAGACATGAGCTCCATAACATAATTGATTACTTATTACAAAATTACAGGCATATAACATATGTACCATATACACAAATATATACAAAGAGAGAAAAATATGTATTTGCCATGAATTAGAATTAAACTTTGAGAAAGTAATGTTAGTAAAGATACTCAAAAAAAATATGTGTTAATGAATTTTCATTACTAAATTGATTTTATATATTGAAATGCTTACTTGAGAAGGTGGTCCATCAAATTCTGTACCAATTTTCAGTACCGTATCATTGCATTCCTGCGATTCAGAATCGATATCTACATCGTTTCTATCTGGATGATCAGAATCGTTACCCGAACCATGTTCTTCATCATCAAGCTGAATAACAGAATTCGCAATAGTGCCAGCCGATTTGTTGGCCATTGTTTCGCGCAGATTAGAATTATTGGATGGACCAATCCAACAATTTTGTATATTATTAAGTTCACGATACGAATATTCCAACTGTGAGGAATCGATAGGACGTAAATCTTCCATAATCTGAGCTGAACGACGTAAACTTCCACATCTATTTATTGCAGTTATTTCATCTAAAAAATAATTAAATTATAAAAGATTAGGTATAAATTTCAGATTTTCATTTATTTGAATTTTTTGAAGCTTCAGTATTCTTTAATTAGATAATAACGTTTTTATATTTTCATATATAAAACTAATAACTAACGATTTCGAATATATTTGACGATATTTTTTGATATTAAATCTAATTAATTTCTATTGACGCTATATAATGTTATATTATTGTTTCGTTTTGTCACTTTAATTTGATAAGTTCGCAAAATCAATATACTCTCAAATGATAGTGCATAGGGAATCATTAAAAGTCGAAAAGAAAAATAAAGATAAAGTGAAACATACTTAGAAGGTAGTATGTAAAGGTCACCGGCCTTTACAGCTGCAAGAACATTTACGGTGAGGTAATTCTGCGATTTGAGCCGTTTCAGCGGCGCTGCTGATTCGTGTGCACTACTCATTTTGATCTTAAATGATGAACCACTCAACTGCCAGAATTACAAGATCACCTTGTAATTTTTCCGCCTCATGTACAATGGGCCAAAATCGCACAAATTTTAATTTCTTGAGTGCCGGATTTTGGGAAAAATGGACTATTCCGAGCAACTTTTTTAACTTTTTCCACTTTTTCGATTTAGCCAATGTTTCTGCATTTTTTACTTGAAAAACAGCAACAATAATAATGTTGTAAATAATGTAAAAAATAGGAGCTTAAAATATAGATGCATCACAAATTCCGAATTGACTATTGAAACAGTATGAAATCAACGTATTATTTGACACATATTATAGTAAATTTCATTAATAAAGCCCACTGAATAACAAAAATTAAATACTGAAAAATCTTAAAGCTAAAATCGGTTTTATGATGCATTTCGATTCTTGTCCGTTCTATTCACTTTTGACAATGTTATACGAAAACGGTTAGGTTATGAAGTTCTAAAATATGCGTATTTAAGAAATCAAATATCGGCGACATAATACTCTGTTGCTCATTCTGTTTGTACAGCAACAATTAATGCAGTGGTTTTATTTTATTACACACGGCTTTTACTAACCTTTGTATTTCCTGAACCATGCAACTACTAAACCTAAACCTACTACTAAATCCCTGACAGTATATTCACATTTTCCGCGCGGTATGTTGTCAGCTAAAATGTCAGCACAATGTTCCGAAAACTCTTGCTAGCTACTCTTAGTATATAGATAAGGAAACGCATACTTTTACGCATATTTTTATTTAGAGTTAAAATACATTTTATAAAAAAGAGTTTCACTAGCTACTTTCAAAATAATGTTTCCTTATATCCAAAAGAAATGGATATTTGAATAGTACTGCAATGAGTGGAACTCATTCTATTCCAACTTTCAGAATATCATTAAAATTAATATGTAAAATACAAAATTTTTACAATTATCCCAAATCTTGTCTGAGAATGTTAATATTTAGAATTGTCTTTTCACTTTTGCATTAAACACTAGTTCTCTACACACATACTTCACACAATTAATATAAATAAAATAACTTACCTAATGTTATGGCATCGTATTCACACAAATCAATATCCAACATAGGTGCTTTCGGATCAAGACATACTGGGTCACATTCAGCATCCATGTCAAATTGTACGACTAATTCAGATGGTGTCAAAACTCGTGGAGGTTCATCAAGATCACTCACATTACGGGAAGAAGTATTTTCTTCTTCTTTTTTGTCTTTGTACTTTATTTTATCCTTTGAATATAAGGGATAATCAGTGTAAAGTGATCTAATCAATAAACTGTTATCAGCTTCTTCCTTAATTTCCACAAAATTACTTTTGTCCACATTGCTATTTTTAAGATCAGTTTCTTCATTTAAAATTTCCTCAGATTCGGTTGCAAGAACATCAGTTTCAAGAGCATCACCTTCCATTTCTAATGTGTAATCGATCTCCTCATTATCGAACGCCGTCCAGTAATTGAATTTTGTACTTAATTTTAAATCGTAATCACGTGTCGGTAGCACATTATGCATTAAACATTTGGATGAATTTATTGCACCACCAATTCTATTAAGTTTGCTAAAGATGACATCATCCATTGGAATTGTTTTCAATAAACCATTTAAACTCTCTTTATTTCTTGTAACTGTACTTATTTGTCGTCGTGCACGGTTTTTTGGTTTAGGTGGATTAGCATTTATGTCCGGTTGAGTTTCACCAACTGACTTATTAACTATATCGGTTTGGTCATTGGTATAATAAACATCGTCGATGTCATCAAGTCCTGCATTCTTACTGTTAACCGATTTTGCTAAACCTGCAGAAATACGCACAACGTCTCTGTAATTAGAGTCTACACGTAAACCATGAACCTTTGATGAAGCTTCTAGCGATGAGCAAGCAACCTTAATAAGTAAATTATGTTCATATTTTACAACAAAAACTAAATTTAATGCACAAAAGTATACTTACTCTAAAGTTACTCGAAAAATTGTGCTTATGCTCAAAGAAATCAGTACTTGTGTCAATAACTGATAGTGACCATACATTCTCCGAGTTTATCTCATTTTTCTTTTCGTTTTTAATCATCAGGACTTCCTCGGATGCCGTACGACTAAGAACCGAACGACGCTCTTCTTCATCATTATCTGATGAAAGGCTGGCATCAGGAACTCCAAACGACTTGAATGCGCTATTGGGCAACATTGTTTTGCTGAAATAAAAAATAATAATAATATCGTTAATAGGTATTATACAATTTCTACAGATAGCATCGGAGAAATTTTATTCTTTGGAACAAACAAAACTGACAGCTTTTTCAAGTTTTTTGTCGATTACAAAAAGTCAAAAATCTTTAATAAAACATTTTTAGGAAGTTTCAGAATTAATTGAAAATATTTAATTGAAAAACGTTGCATATATCACGAATCACGAACCACAAATCACAAATCACAATTCACAAATTTTGCATAACAGAAGATATACCAACCTTAAGAACACAATTGTTAATTGTAAAAACACAAGCGCTTCAAAAAAAAAATATCCGACCAACGACCGATTAGTCTCTTGTCGGTCAATAACCAATAAGAAAGAAGACTTGTTCCGTTCCTTTAAAATTTTTATGAGTATATTTGGCAGCCCATACACAGATTCGCACGATGTAACTATATGAATTTGATTTATGCTTTAAGCGGGTATTACACACTATGTCTGGCTTGTTCGCTTGGGTCGACGTCGCACATCGTAACGAGTTCATTCATACTCTTATAAGCAGTGGCGTATTTTGATGATATTAAAAAATTGCCGAAATATGGGTGTGATGTACCTAATTTTACGCCCACCTGCCCTACAAAGTTATTGGTAAAAATAAACAAACACGAAGCAATTTCAATAAAATTTTGCTTAGAGAATTGTTTTTACAATCAAAAAACTTTTCTGGATAATGGGCATGATTTGCCAATTTTTACGCACTCGTCCCCCACAAAGTTAAACATTCAAATCAATAAGTATTGATTAATTTTAGTGAAATTTATACAAATTTACTTACTTGATCATCAAAACTAAATAAACAAAGATTGAATTTATACATTAACAACATAATTCAGATGTTGCTTTCATCAGAATTATGAGTCTCTAGAGTCAGGCACAAATTCTTCAAAAAATAAGATAACCTACTGTGAAATAAACGACTTTTATGTATTTGCTTAGATGGGCTTCTAATGCTTCTTCAAAGAATACTCCAATAGGATTTTTTTTTATTGTATCCATTGCATGAATAAGGTTTTTTTGAACAGTGTCTTGAGATATTGCTTGCTTCAATCGCTTTTCTTTATGGCGTGGACAATTCATCCATCGTGTAACATGCACTTCCATGTTTTGTAACCATACCAAACTACGGACACTACATTTGATTTAAACATTCGGAGTTTTATTTTAACGCTTAGTTAGTTTGAACTCCAAATGTTTTGTAATTAGCCAAACGCAGATTTTGCCTTTTTTATACGAGCTGTTACGTCTTCTTCTGTTCCGCTATCTTTAGTAATTAAGCTGCTCAGATATGTGCAGAATCCTACAACATTTATATTTGTGATCTTAACAGCTACCAAAAGATCTGCTAAAGCACATTATTCACTGAACATGACAACCAGTGAATAATGTGTTTATTTCTAAGCCCCCTATCTGAGCGTTACGATTTTGGCTGTCTACGTCATGTTGGAGGTCTCTGATTTTGTAACTCAGCAGATGCACATGATCCGCATATTCAAGATCTTCCAGATGGAGAAAAGGTGTCTACTATAGACCATGGCGTCCATCAAGCGAATTTCTTAAAATTCCATTCAGAGCTAGGACGATGAAAGGAAGCAGCCTTCACGAACTCCTGTTCTCACGTCAAACGCGTCAAACAGAACTCCGTCGTACAAAACTCTGCATATAAATTCAATGTACATGGACTTAATGATAAGTATTTTTGGTGGCATGCCCCTTTGACGTAAAGCAACTCATATGAAACGTCTGTTCAGACTATCAAAGGTTTTTCAAAAATCTATAAATGCTACATAAACAGAAAATCTAAATTCGTTACATTATTCGAACAAATAATAACTCTAGTAACGTTGTAGAGATCTTTCATGTTACCCAGGTTAGCTGCAGACTCAGCAACCTGTGCTTGATTTTCTGTCTATTCTCTTTTATCATATCTGACCGACTTCTTTATTGACGTACAGAGTTGTTAAGCATCGCTTTTTTCGTTTTTATTTTTGCTTCTATCAAAAGCCAAGTTTTATCCGAAAATAAACCCAAATAGGTCTCTATTTGGGTTTATTTTGATAACCCAGTGTATTTAGACCAACACTCTTGTATATTTGAGAAACGCTTTAGACGTGTACATTGATGTCATCCTCAATAACGGTAGATTGAAATTTATTTGTAAGGGCTTCTTCGTACCTAACTGTGGTCTCGCTGTTATTATGCTTTCCAATATCTATTATTTTATTTGCCACTTATACAGCTCTCTTTAGCGCTGAGATTTTCACACGCAGTTTACCAACCATAATATAATATAACGAACGTCTAGCAGCGATGACCTCCAACGTGTATTAATTAAGATGTGGTGTATTTAATTCCTTGTTCTCTCGCCCAGCAAATCCAGCGACCTAAGTTGCTTTGTTTGGTGTATAGTGTGAAAAAGGGAGCCACCGATTACCAGATTATCCTCGCAGCACATCTCAATAATTCTGTTTCCATTGTTGTTTCGAGTATCCAGTCCATGATGCCCCATGTATTTTTCTTAATAGATGTTTTTCACCGCCTGTCAGTGCGTTAAAATCTAGAAATAGATTTTGCATTCGTCATCTTGAAGTTTCGTGGGAGAATAGCAGTCGACGATGGTCATGTTACGTACATGCGATTTGAATTTAAGGACTTAGTCCCTGAGCAGATTGGGTGCCATTCTAATATTCCCTGAGCAATCTTTGAAAATGTAAGGAAACCTTCTCCATTTACATGAGCAGATCCTTCTGGTTAGCCCGACTAAATAAACAAATTATCTTTATCGAGCTTTTTCCATTCCATCTGTATACATCACTTTTGTAGCGACCCATCTCGTTTCTAAGTAGTTCGAGTTCACAAGCCTCATTTAAAGTACATATATTCCACATTGCGACAGATGTTATTACTTTCATGCCTATTAGGCAGCTACCATCAATACGATTCAAATTAGTTATGTTATTAATTTTGTTATTATTATTAAATCATAGTTTGGCACCTCCAAATCCGATGTGTCTGCTACAGCAGTACAGGGGATTGCAGTACAGGGGATTGCAGTACAGGGGATTGCAGTACAGGGGATTGCTTGAATGTCGATTGCACCGTTTTCGCTTAATTTTTTTTTTTTGTGCAGTAGGTGGAAAGCACAGTCACGGTGTAAGACTTGAACCCACTAAAACCACCTCTTAGGAATGAAAGGAGAAGATTTCCCTAGCAATGTGGAAACTTCATTCCAGTAATCATGAGAGAAAGGAATGAGAAAATAGATTTAATACCTAGTGAACTAGGCTCATCTAAATCAGAAAGCAGGGGCATGAACTAGGTAGAAAGTACGATATAGAAGGGGAAGGGGTTACGGCTAACAAGCGGGGGTTGAATCAACAGTATACTTTGTGACTAGGGTCACGAAAGCCGCGGTTATATAAGGGGATAGTGGAGAGGTTATGGTCCACTTCATCGAAGTAGTGTGTTAGGTATTGGGGGGGCTTGTATCGCAAAGCTAAAACAAGGTCTTCTGAAAGTATGAGAGGAGTAGAGACGTCGGGGAGAAGGTCATGGAGCTGGGTGAGATACCTACGGGCGAGTGACAGAAGAAACTCGTCAACACGAGTGATCTTGGCATTGTTGTAGAGAGTTGATATGGAGAAGTGCTTGCCATTACGCTTGCGCTTATAGTTAGTGCAATCGCGAAGAAGTTTCCGCTCAAACAGGAGGATTCTTTCCATTTGAGCGGAAGTGATGGCTGACCAAATAGGGAAAGCGTAAGCGAGGAGAGGACGAATAAGCTGCTTATAACAGAGCAGCTTATCTTTGCATTTAAGCTGGTTATGTCTTCGAAGTGCAGATTTAAGTTGAATATGCCGGAACCGGGCGTTACGGATGGCATAGTCAACATGTGGTATGAAATTATGCTTGGATGAGAAAACAATGCCAAGATATTTCAGCTTAGGAACAAGCTGAATTGGAGAGTTATTAAGCCTGAGCTTAATATTAGAGGTGCTAAAACCTCTGGAACGATTACGCTGCTGGCCAGTAAAGGCAATGGCAAAGATCTTAGACGGATTGAGTTTAATCTTCCACCTGGTATAGTAGTCAAAAAGAGATTTAAGGGGGGCATTTAGCTTGTTGGAAACGCGGTAAGGACTACACGATCGCATGAAGACAAGGCAGTCATCGGCGAAGCAGATTTGCTTAATAGGGGTCCGCGGAAGCGGGATGTCTGCTATAAACAGGTTGAAAAGAAGAGGTCCAAGAACCGAGCCCTGAGGGACGCCGGCGTTGATGGGGAAGTTACGAGACAGAGAGGAACTGACTCGAACCTAAAAGGTTCTGTTGGAAAGAAATTTGTGGACCATACTGCAGAGCGTAGGAGAGAAGCCGAACTGGTGAAGCTTAAGCTTAAGCTTAACTTTCGTTTGAAGCAGTAGTTTCGTTGATTGGACGTATGGGTTCCCATGAACGGTGGATGATGGGTCAATGGCCCATCGAGATTCCAGCGTGGTCCACGATTATGTAGCGATTCGATTGCCTCAAGTGCGACCACCACTTACATTCGCAGCTAACATGGTAAACATACCCTGAAATAGAGACACCATTAGAAACTCCGAGCTCTTGACCATACTGTAGTTAATTCGTCTGCTGCCTTGCATTCTACGCTGCCTGTGTTTGATGACGAAGTTTACTTTTCCGGACCATTTGCTCTGCAGGAGGTATTTAATTTATCTCTTTCTACTCATATTTGAAAGGCATTCCTCTATCCGCCACCTAGGTATGCGTCGTGTAGCGATGTTAGGCTCTCCCGGGGAAAAAATTTGTAGTTAACTACAAATAGCCTCAATGTGGAAAATGTTCAATCAGTTGACACACTGAAACTCACATCAATTGCTGAAAATTGATTTGATTTCGGGATGAATTTCATTGGCCTGTAAAACAGCAATTAAGAGATGTTATTAAGAGAAGACATTGTAATCATAAAATATTAAATATCAAACAGAATTTTTAAATTCACTCTAATCATAGTCGATTCCACCCCACGTACAGTAACTAATAATCGGAGTATCAATTATAATATTAATCATATTACTGCGGCTTACAGTAAAAAAATTAATGTGCAACGTCAAAAGTGAAGATGTCCTTAAGATCTAGTTCTAATTTAATAATTTTAACGGATATGCCATTTCTGTTTAAGAGATTGCAATTCCTTATTCTATTGGAGAGCTCAGTCCAATGTTTAGAATAGTGTGATTTAAATTTTGACACGGATTATCATCCACATGATCAATTATGTATTTAATACAATAAAAAAGGTCAGTCTTGATCAAACTCGCATTAAGAAACGACGCGTGTTTTTTTCTTGTCTTTTCGGTTTTTAGTTGTTGTTTTACCAAGAAAAACTCTTCTCGGTGATGATCGACTAAGTAATGATTTCAAGTTTGTATAATGG